TGATAACTATCTGGACATTATAAAGATTTTGCTTGTGAAATTTGAAAATTTTCTGATGTATAAAAGTATTTTAAATCTTAAAATGAATATTAATTTGTATGTTGGATAGGCAACATATGAAAAGAAAGAAAATGCTTGAAGAAAACATTGCTTAACAAATCTTAAGACTTAATAAAAAAAATGTGATATTTTGCACATGAAAGCATTGTAATGTTTACTGATAATCTGCCAAATTTTGTTAACATACGCTTACTAATTTATAAGTTATAGTATGAAAACTATAACAAGCCCAAAGTGATTACGAGGCTGGTTCCCAAGGACTGAGCCCGTACTGAAAGAGTTAAAGCTCTACAAATAATTACATATTAATTATATATTTAAATAATCATAAGTACATAAGTATCAGAATGTCACAGTATGAACACATAAAATAGGTACCATTAGACTATGTCATATGTAATATATACAAAACCATTAACATCTGTATAATATGTAATATATTTATAATATTTGTCATAAATGAGGCTACTGTGTTATTTTGCTTTGTGACATTCTGACTGGACACCAGTACATCTTTTTTAAAGGCCCTGATGTGTAAGTATTTTTATTTGATAAATTAAGTACTGTTTATCTGTTGCTGATATGTGGAATAAAAAAGATCAACAGTATTATATAAGCACAATGAGTAGGTGTTTATAAAAGTTTATTAATTTCTGAAGCAAATTAAAGGTTTTAAATGAGCAAGCACGTTTTGCATGAGCATTTGTTCATTTTGTTCATTATAATTTCTGTGTTAAGATACATCTCAGTTTATGCAAAAAGTAGAATAGAGAGAGGTATTCCAATTCTGATATCAGAAAACTTGTTTGCTCTGTGTGTCCTTGTGCATTGTCACAAATTATTGCATTAAAAAAAGGGACTTTGGTCAATCACAAAAATATATTTGATAAATTCTAAATCATATTGGTAGAATAATTAAGATCGAAATAAAAATAAACAGATGAAGGATTTGGGAAAAAAATTTTTTTATATTGTTTAGGTTAAATATTTTTGTTTTTTGCACAACCATAAGCTGATTACACGACTTTAAACTTAAATTCGTTTTATTCATTATGTTTTAATGCAAGATATTTAAGGGAATCAGTACTAATAATTCAGATGTTTTAGCTTTTTATGAAATTAATTTTACAATGGGTAATTTTCTTTTATTTTAGCACGAGAGATGACTCGAGGAAGATTTCTTAACATCTTGGAACGAAAGAAACCCCAACGAAGAAAATAGGTTTTCTGTTTATTCTTTCTGAAACTTCATGCCATCATTACAATTTTAACATATCTAGTAAAGGTTTTTATGTATTGACTAAGGTTTTACTATTGTGTTTGATTTAAATTGAAACTAAAGAATGTTTTAAATACTTCAAAATTTCTTCACATGATACAATGTGTTATTTCTTTCTAACTGAATACAAAGTTTTGAAAAAAAATCTGGGTGTTCATTATTGTTTCTAATCCTTATTTACCATACTGTAAAGGTTGATACCTCTAGACAAGAAGTTAAAAAATCAAAGCTAAATTTAAAAATGACATTTAATTGTTATGAGTAAATGAAAGTTGTCATGTCGCTTGTGAAGTCTTCTGAAATTTGCAGTGCACATTGTATTGTTACTGGTACAGTTATCTCACAGACTCTTGAATCATTTTGATGTTTAGTAGTGTGTAAGGAAGAGTTTACTTTCTCCTTGGGAATAAATATTTGATTATAGATATATATATAATACATTGATATATATATATATATATATATTTGCTATCATCAAATATTTTTATAGGTTTTAATCTTTAGATAGAAACACCAGTTTGATGTCAGAGCATTTGTGTTGAACAGCTACATTTATTGAAAACTGTTGGGATATTAATGCTACAGTAACTCTTCCTTTTAATTAGTTATTTACAGTTTTGCAGCGTGCTTGATTATTTACGGGTAAAAGTATTCATAATACTGTAATGCTTAACCTTTTAAAGTAGCAGATAAACTTGTACAGTTATTGAAAAATGAGGATTCTATAGGGTGATTAAATTTAATATGATGAACAACTTTATAGTAGAAATATGTAATAAACAATTAAATCTGTGAAATTTTCGTTCATAGGAGAGGACCATTTTCAGACATGTTGTTAACCCCATACCTTGCCTGAAGTTGTCTATTTTTTTTGGCTGAAACTTGCAGTTTTTATTGCTTAAAAAACTTCCAACATGTTAAGTTTGTACAATGAAAGACTGAAAACAACTTGCATATCCATTTTGGAAATTAATGCAAGCTTAAAGAGATGTAATATTTTTTTGATACAAGGTTAAAACTTGAACATACTTCTAATTGCATATCTGAATTGTAAATAATACTACTAAAATTTCTATATGAACATTTCCAATAGTCCATGAACATCCAGTTTGATAATATTAACATAAACCCAACAATTTTATTTTGGTAACATCAGATTAGGTTTTCTCAGTACAAATGTTTTCCAATTTCATACAAAATACAATGATTAAAATTGTTAAACATTTGCTTAATTAGGTATAACACTGAAAATACTCAATAAAATAGATACAAGGACTATCAATTCACACTTATTTACCTTATGATCAAAAAGCATAGTAATTTTTATACGATTATTAACCCTCTTTATAAGTGTAAGTCAACAATTATTGAAATATATATTTGTTTTTGTTTATATATGATAAAATATTCCTGACCTTTCAAATTGGAATTGAATGTTTTCAGCAAAGTGAAGACCTCTGATACAATAATTAGCAAAATGTTTATTACCCAGTGTTTAAAACTCCGAAAATCAGTCCAAACACACTTTGTAACAGATATAGACACTGGCCCACTCAGTTGCACCAGTAAATACAGCTGTATGATACTTTAGAAATACAATGGTGGGTGTTTCTCATGGTGTGGTTCACTGAGTAAACATACTAGTTTTAATTGTTTTTTGTACAGCCGTGATAAGATAGAGAAAAATATTCCATGGTTTTGTACAAACAATTTAACTTAAACCTTAATAAACAAATACTTCTTTATCTAAGTGTTATAAATAATGTACGTAGTTTGATCATTTATAAAAAGTACTGTCATACTTTGCCTATTTCTTGAATTGAGGAGGAAGAGAGAGGACATAGTTTCCACTGTTAAAATAAATCAATTTTGTCCCACTTTTAACAAAATCAAGTGCATGGAACAACATTTCTATAGTGAGACTTCACTGACTGACTTAGCATTAATGGAAGCGCGTGTGTACAGTTACAGTCGTTACAGACTTCCCTGTACCAAATTTAAGACTCATCCACACTGTATGCGAACAAAAGCGAAGTCTCCAATGTCAATCTACACCAGACGCGAATTGTAAACATTCAAAAGACTGGAAATAAATACAAGACCCAGCTCAGGCATTCCTATTGGACATACTAGAGATGGGCTGGACCATAACAAAACAAGTTGTGTTTTGATAACAAGAGCTCTGATCTCCACAATAGTAGTAGCCTATAGTTGAACTGATATTTTCAACAAGCTAAAACTAAAGTATTATTGTTAGAATATACGTATATATACAACTCACTGCAATCTCAATTGCGTTTCTTTACAAATTCCTTCTTTGATTCATTTTGTTAGTTAACTTTTAAAGTATTTTAAAGTTCAACATTATGTCTCAGCAGAGAGAGAGATACACTTTTTTCTATTGTTTCTTCTTTCTTTCTTTTTCTTCCAAATACTTTCCAACGGAACAAAACTTGTTAGGGTTATACCTTGGTCCAATACGCCCAGATAATTTTTTCCTTTTTTTTTTATTTAGGCCTTTTTAAGGATTTTATGTAGTGAAATAACAAACATCCCAAAAATGTATATTTTGGCCTCATGTGCTGTCATAATTACAGCAATCCAAATGAAAATTAACACAAATATAATTTTTATACGTCTAACACTGACACAAAAAAACTTGTCGTTACCTATTTTAAATCTTTTTTTTTTTTCTTTTAGTATAATTTTGGTACAAAATACTTTTCTATAGGTCCAACACATTGATAAACAAAAATGGTGGGCTTACCCACTTCTAGTAATTATAGTAGTGTCAAGATGCTACAAAAGCATAATTTTAGGGTTTTTTGACAATTATTTCGCGAATTTACAAGGGATTTGGTACAAAGGTACTTTTATTTTACAGGTCTCAAAAAGAGAGAGAGACAATTTTCTATTTTTCTGTATTTTCCACTGTTTTTCTGGTGTCAAAATGGGTTATATTTAGATCGCGTGGCGGAGACATGTTGCATTCGTCGCAAATATTTGCCTGTTTAATTATTATGTTATTATTATAGTCTGTGCTATGTTGATTGGTCAGAGAGACGGCTTCTATTTTAGCGAAGTGACATTGTCTACTGCTGGTGTGGATACATTTGACTGTAGTACTTCTAAATTATTCGCTCGCAGCCAGTGTAGATGAGCCTTTATATCTATCAACCATTGGTAAAATTGGTTTCTAGTTTGCTCATAATGTTCCACGATCTAATTAGTAACTGATAAATGAATTAATAAAATTCATAGTATGTTTATACGTGTGATAGTTCCACTACAATGTACACTTGTTTCATTATATTTGTGGAGTTCTCTTGTTAAATAGTTACAAATCGTACAGTGACTTTACCATTTTCCTGAACGGTTTAACACGGGAAGAGTTGCAGGTTTCATTTGGCAGGTAAAATAAGCAATGAAACATTATTTCAATTGTTTATTTAGCCTAATGACAATTGAAGATCGTATTGAGTCTCGATAAAGCATTGCTTTCGTTTTTGTATTAGTAATACGAAAGTTAGCTTTATTAGTCTCGAGTTGTTCTGAACAACAAAAAAGTCTGATAAGCCTTGTCAAGATAGTGTGATTCACCAAATGTTTTGTTGATCTTTGTCCTATCAGTGGAACCATGTGTTTGTTTCAAACATGACGTGTCGTTAGTCTTATTATTATTATTTTTTGCAGGTATTCAGTTATCATATGTCAGTCACGTGATCAATTGATAATTGAAAATCTATAAGTGGCGTCGTATACTGCTAAGTGAGCGTTATATTTTCATAAAACACAAAATGTATGTTTTTTGTCTTCCAGAATCTGATCTGAAGCATTAACCATTCCGGCATTCAATAAAATAATTTAATTAAAGTGTTATCTATTCAACTTTAGAAGTTGACTATGTTAATTTGAATAGAATGTAAGGAAATTCATATTAAAGTGAAACCGAAGGTACTTGGGATAATGGTCCTGTACGTCAGAAACCAACAGGTTCAGTTCACCTACGGCAGGAATTAATTAGCGGGAGATAATGAGTCTAGAAGCTCAGCGAAGGTTGTAGCTAATACGTTTTACGTGTGGTGTTGTGATAATTTATTTATATAGGACCTCAAGAACATGTTATTAATGTATTCAACCAACAAGCCAGTGGCACAGCGGTATGTCTGCGGACTTACAACGCTAGAATCCGGGTTTCGATACCCGTGGTGGGCAGAGCACATATAGCCCATTGTGTAGCTTAGTGCTTAATTACAAACAATCAACCAACAACTATATAATACACTTTACCACTATATGTCTTATTCTTTTGCTTTGCCATTGCCAGGGTTACCGATGATGGGGGGTGGGGTATTGAAGTTCGTGCAAACCTACTCGAGGGCTATCTGCGCTAGCCGTCCCTAATTTTGAACTGGTAACTAGAGGGAAGGCAACTAGTCAGTAGCGCCCACCGATGAGTGTTGGGCTACTCTTTAGCAACGAATAGTTTAATTGGCCGTCACATTATAAGGCACCCACAGCTGACAGGATGAGCATGTTCGGCGATAGATTTCTATCCCGCAACCCACAGATTGCTAGTCATGCCAACTCTGTAGAAGAGCTAAAGAAGCTCAGCGAGAGATGATAAGGAGTTAATAACACATAGTTATCTGTGATTTGAGTCGATGACAGAAATATTATATCTTGATCTGTATTTAATAGTTAATTCATGAAAAAGGTTTAGCAGCTGTAAGAAACAGATACTGATTTCGAGACATAACTTGAGATGGACGTTTGTAGAGGACGCCACGTTATTGATGTTTGAATGTATAGGTAGAAATTACATCCAGCTGCTTTTCGAAACTCTACTTAGAAAATCCAAATCTCAAGTTTCTTATTAACAAACTGTGAGAGTGCTGAACAAATAACCTTATGTTTGATATCAATGATATCTTGAAGATTTTAATATTGGCAAATTCCCTTAAATATTAATTTTTGCTCCCAGTAACTCGATGATTTGTCAGAGACGTAAACTCGAAGTTATGTTCATGCTTTGGATACCAACAGATACTAAACTTTGTACAGCCAAATCTGGTTTCTAGAAGAAAACAAAAACAAAATAGTCTGCAATACAAGCATCTGTGTATAATACACGATATGAAAGTTACTTTTCGTGCCGTAGTGTTTTAAGTTATTAATTAAAACATGAACTTCCCCTGGCTGTATATAATTAAAATAATGTTTTTTTTATAACAAGTTATTCATGGTTTTGTCCAGAGGTCGATGTTATTCAGGTTGCATTGTTTTGATGTTCTAAGTTGAGGTATTCGGCAGCAAGGTGTAAGTGAAAGACCCTTTTAAGACAAGCACGTGAAGGGGTGATTTGTTTGGACTTTAGAAATTGAAAT